ACCGCAAAAACCCGTTTTCCCGCAAAAACACGTTTTCCCATCAAAACCGTAAAAACGTATTTTCCCGTCAAAATCGCAAAAACGCATTTTCCCGCAAAAACCGCAAAACACGTTTTCCCGTCAAAACCATAAAAACGTATTTTCCCGCCAAAACTGAAAAACGCATTTTCCCGCAAAAACATGTTTTCCCGTCAAAACCATAAAAACATATTTTCCTGCCAAAACCGAAAAACGTATTTTTCCGCAAAAACCGTAAAAACCCGTTTCCCGCCAAATTTGAAAAAAATGTTTTCCCGCTAAAACCGTAAAGACACATTTTTGTGTTAAAATCGTAAACGTTAATTTTTCCAACAAAAATGGAAACTCACATTTTCATCAAAATCGTAAAATTCCCGCCAAAAATGTAAACACAAATTTATTTTATTCATTTTATTAACAAATTCATTTGGATGCAGATGCAAGTTAAAAACAAACAAACGAACATAGTTACATTCAGATGATTCATCTAGATGTATAGACGAAATACAGAAACGAACAACATCTAGATGCTCCATCTGGATAAGGCATCTGGATGGATCATCTGGATGCATCTTTCAGATGTACAAACGAACAGGGCCTTAGTAAAATTTATCAAAGAATGTTTTTGTTGAGTTTATTCTTTATGAGCTTATAAATAGAATGAGAAAAATAGCATAAAAAACCTTCGAAGTGGCACTCACTAACACTTTAAACCTTGAACTTATTTAACTAGCATATTGAACACTCAACTTGACATTTGTATCACAAAAAATCTTCAACTTGGCTTACTTGTTCGTCAAGTTTAAATTGTGACTTGTTAACCTACAATAGTAGGTCACATGTTGTTTTTTTTTTTGTTTTTTTTTAATTAATAAATACAATTAACAATAAAAAAACTAAATAAATTAGAAAATTACAGAAAAAGATCTAAAACTGAATTTAATAAAAACCAAAATATCTTCTTAAAATTTAATTTTTTAACGTGTAAGTTTTCAAAAATATTTGTTTTAAAGTACAGAAAAATTTAAAATCTTAATTTAAAAAATCAAAATATTTTCTTGAGAACTTACAAGTGTTTTATTCTTATTCTAAATGAGAGTTTGTGATATATGAGTGTATATTTTTTATAAACTATATCAATACTATTAAAAGGGAATGAGTCATTAAAAATCTATCTAAGAAAGTTGTTTAGTACTTTTTTTTAATATTTTGGTATTCCCTTTATTTTCTCTAACCATACGACATCTTATATATTAAAACAGAAGTCACAACCTAGAATCATGTGTGATTTTTTTAAAAATGGACTATTCCTTAAGAAGATTATGAAGATTATCAAATGTTACATAATTTAATGATAATATCTTTAAATATCTTTATTTTTCTATTTGAAATAGAAATGAAATAAATCCAACAAAATCTTTTTGACATCTTTTTAAATTGTATTTCCATAATATTATCCCATATATTTATCTTTTATTCGAAATACAAATGTTTTTTTTTAAGATATGAAAATTTATCTAGATATCATTATATATTCCTAAATCCTAAATAAAATACTATATATTAGAGTTTAACCCACACAATTTTTTTCTTTTTATAAATATAACACTTTGATAGTATTATAAAAAAAATTAAATATATGATTTACATTTAATGTTATATATTATATAACTCTATAATTTAGTTGTTTAAGTTTTTTATTCTTCATTATTAATATATAGTAATTTGTTTTATATATTTTAATTTATATTCTTATTCATTGTTATTACTAAATAATATATTTTTGAGTTTGATACATAAATTATAATTTAAAATAATTAAATTATAATCGTCTTTAGTATAGAGTTTTAATTTCTGGAATTTGCATACAATAAATTTTAAAATTTATTTAGATACACTATAGATAAATATTTGTTAGTGATAATTTATATTTTTTTGTTGTGTTTAAAAATGATACTTTAACATCTATTATTTTAGTATTTTACATGATTTTATAAGTAAATATATTATTATTTATTGATAATTTTTTTTTATAAATTATAAATAAAAAGAAAACCAGCACGGTTGTGCGGGTCGAGATCTAGTTATTATTAATGGTCATATTAATAGCAACTAAAGCAATTTTATTATCCCATAATTATATTAATGTATCGTACTAATAATTTAATACCTTGATATATTTTTTTATTTTGTTAATAAAAAATGACAACTATATGATGATTTCGATATGAACATTTTAACTCTTAATAACCTTTTTCAATATCAAAGATAACCTCTAACTCATATTTATTTGTATGTTATTATTATTAACTAAACATTTAAAAATCGTATAAGGCAAATGCTTTAAAATGTTATTCAAAAATAAATAGTGTGGATATACCACTAGTAAAAGGAGCACTTTTCGTCATATCAGAATGAACAATAATGTTTTGTAAGTTTTAAACTTTTAATTTTATTGATATCTTTAACGATGATATTTTCTTATATAAAAATAACAATGATTTTGACACTATTGTCACTAGCAATATAACCAAATATGTTATTATTAATAATGATATGAAAAAGAGTGTTCAAGATAATGGTGATAATGTTTAAAATTATTTATTTATTTTTGTGAGAAAATTTAATAGTTTTAGATGATTTTTTTTTTTTTAAAAGTTTCTAATTTGCAAAAATTTCAGTTTAAAAACTTTGAAGTTTTAAGAAAATATTTTTTTGATTTTTATTGAATTCAATTTTAGATTTTTTTCTTTAATTTTCTAATTTTATTTAGGTTTTTAATTGTTAATTGCAATTATTAATTAAAAAAACAAAAAAAAAACAACATGTGACCTACTATTGTAGGTTAACAAGTCACAATTTTAACTTGACGAACAAGTAAGCTAAGTTGAAGGTTTTTTGTGATACAAATGTCAAGTTGAATGTTCAATATGCTAGTTAAATAAGTTCAAGGTTTAAATTGATAGTGAGTGTCATTTTGAAGGTTTTTTATGCTATTTTCCCAAATAGAATATGTATATTTTAGTTGGTATGGACAAGTGTCATAACGATACAAATGGCTCAACTTGTGCATTAAAGTGACAATCCAGGACCAGGAGCTATTCACAATACATATAGTACCAATACATATAATATACATTCAATACTTTTTGAGACTTAAGATTAGGATGGGACCTTGATGTCGCATTTCCCCCTGCATATTCTTATGAAACCCCTAGCTAAATTTCTCGACAATGTCAACGAACGTTGTATATATGTAACATCTGAGAAAAAATGCAAAACCAAGAGCTGATCAAATTAAATGACGAGAAACGTATACACGAAGTTGAAAAGAAAAATAAACAAATCGATGTAACACATTGGAGGTGAAAGTAATGTCAAATAATTGGCGATGACGTGAAAACTGTGACCTCACTTGGGATAATAGTTCATTTGATTGTAGCCACATAGAAAGCGGCAAACTAAACGACAATTAAAGAGCAACGATGGTGATAGTATAAATTTTCTCTCTTGCAAACCATTAATTAGAAATATATGGATGAGATGAATCTAGTAGAGTGTTTACAAATTACACATATATATAAGGACAACACAACATGAGTATTCTTGCTTCTTCAATGGTTTCGAAACTGCAAAGAAAGATTTGCTTCGCAGGAGAGATAGCGCCATCACTTCTTCTTTCTTAAGAGTTTAGAAGATGGTGAGTTGGTGACGGTATCTCTCCTACGTAGCAATCCTTATATATGCATCTAGATGGGGAGAGATACAGTTCGAACTTTCAAAGGTATTTCGATTTATTCATGTTGCAGTCTAACAAATGATGCATTACCATTTCAAGCGTATTTGCTTTTCTTTCTTCAAGTAACATGATCATACATACGTATTCTCTTTGTATTTACATTGCAAGACAGTTAGGAGTCGTGAACCCAAGGTCCATCTCTCAAGACTCAATAATCTCCATTAAGTAGCTCAATCAAATCCAGATATGGTTGAACTTTTTTGAAAGATTCACATTATTTTTTACAGAAAAAAAAAATCAATAAAAATATAAGAATCTAAATGACAGTTATGATATGTAACATCAACAAAGTTTCCATAGATGTGGAAGTAAATATACTGTACTATTTTTTAGAGAAAAGTTTAGCACAAAAGCTACACGTCAAGACTTTCCAAAAAACAAGGCTAAAATCTCCTCAGGATATCCTCTCTTTTTCTCTCTTATTACAAAACATGGCACAATTGGTTCCAGACTTCCAGTCATCAATTCTATTAAATGTTATTGGTTGATTCTGCTTGACATGTCGTCAATACTGTGTAATAAATGGTGATAGTGACGTCAAAACTAACGTGGGTGTGTTTAAGACTCTGCTTAATATAGAAGTCAAGGTGGAATTAACTTTAACTTTATTCAACAAGTTGGTTTTATAGAACAAGTTGAGGACTTTGATGATTTAACAAGTGAGACTGCACTGACTCTCGCTGAGCAAAAAGAGTAAAACCGAAAAGCCTTATTGTCCTTGTGCTACTTTTATCAAATCCAAGTGAGAAAAGAAGAAGAATCCAAACCTTTGGGTTGTCAATTGTCATGGGACTCATGAGAGGAGAAAAGCGGTAAGTGAAACCAATATTTTTACTTTCACCACTACAACTATATAATGTGATTTGTCAATATTGTATATTTAGTCATATCATAATGTCAACTGATATTAGTTAAATTCAACTAATTAATAAAATGAGATATCTTTAATATATAATTTGATGTATTTTTAAAGTATTAATTACAAAACTTATATATGTCATTATTTTTGACAAAAAAAATATGTCATTATTCTTTAACAGTACTACTAAAAAGGAAAATTATAAGTAATTTTTAATTAAACTGCACTAAATTATAAGAAAAATATCAATATTTACTGTTAATCTATTTAATGAGTATCTTAATGAGAGATTTAGTCAATTATCTTAATGCATGAATGAGAGAAAAAGAAGAGACCATATCTACTACTAATCAATGTTCACAGACAACAAGACAAAAGTCTTTATCTCTCGTGTATTAACTAGTACATAGTACGACTATATATAATCTATGCACTCCTTAATCCGTTCTCAATTCAAGATCCTGTGTTCTGTTTAGCTTTCTTTAGGTCTCTCCCAAATTCTATCTACGGAGAAAAAGAAATGCTTTCAACAACTCTTAGTGGCAACTATGGCTTCCCTCTCTGCATCTCTGGGATCTCTCAGCATTTATCTCTCTCCAAAGAGTAAAATATGTTTCTTCTCTTCATCTCTCGTCTTTCAATATTGAGATCTCCTCTGTTTTTATCATTGACTTATGTTTCTCTGTTCCTTATATGTTGAAGAATGGCAGATCATGAGAGGAGAAGGAAGTTGATTAAGAAGAAAAGGAGATCCGAAGGTAAAGGTGAGTCCAGGAGACATGGTGGAGAAGAAAACGGTGTGGAGAGATTCGATGACCTCTTATGGCTCCAAGAGTCGAGAGAGAGTGAAGATGTTAAAGATCTGGTTGCTTTATTCCAAGATCTAGGGTCGTGGAGCTTTTCTTCTCACACAGCTAAAGCTGCTTAGTGTTAAAAGAATCTCATTAAACTCATTTAGATCTCACTTGAGTTGTTGCTTCTTGTCAAAACTGCAGATCAAAAATCTATAAAATATTCCTGAACGTTTTCAGTGTTGATGTTTACACGTTTCTTTGTCGTACGCGTGATGTTTTGCAGACTCTTTTGGCCTTTATCCCTTGTTATTTTTGTTTTTAGTTAGCTTCTCAAGGGTGGATAACTAACTGCTCCGTATACTCAATCATTTTAGTAAAGCTTATTATTTGTTTGCTAATCTTTATTAGATCTAATGGTTCTGATTAAAAGCTTTGTAATTTGATTGAATCTAATTACTTATCCACCACAGATCTATGTAGCTGAACTTGGCTGCGATTAAACTATGCAAGAAACGAATAAGCAAAAGCAAAATTAATTTGTAACACAAAGAAACACCAACAGAGAGATGTAAAAAGGAGGTAGAGATGAGAAAGCAACAGAAAATAAAAGAACAAAGGCTTAAACGCCATCAAAGTTTTTTTTTAAAAGCAAAGAAAACACAGAGACGAGAGAAGTCTCATCATTTGGCTCCCTTCTTCACTGCGGCCTAGGTCACCTTGGCACCGGTTGGATCCTTCTTGTCAACACTCTTGATGACACCAACAACCTCATCATTTGGCTCCCTTTTTTTTTTTTTTTTTTTACAATTATTACTATTTTTTATTTACTTTTATCTTTTTTATTTTTACAACATAATATAATTTACTAATATTTTGTTTTCTTTTCTAAAAAAATATTAAATATCTAATAACACAATTTTATTGGGATGACCCAAGAATAACTCTTTAATATATTTTTAAAAAATATTATGAAATTATATTATGTTTTTAAAATAAAAAGGTAAACAAAAATAATAATAGGTACAAAAAATAATATATTTTTAATATTCTTAACGTAATCAGCAAAACATTAAACTCTAAATCCTAAATCTTGATCTCTAAACTCTTGGGTAAACTATTAACTATTGGGTAAACTATAACCGTTGGATAAATCTTAAACACTAAATCATAAACACAAAAAAATGAAAAAATTAAATTTTAAAAACACTAAACCCTTAAATTAATACTAATTCCTAAACCCTTGGATAAAAATAAAGTAAAATTTAATATATTTTTTACACCGTCAACAAAACACTAAACTAAACATTAAATTTTAAATACTAAACTCTAAACTCTTGGATAAACCATAAATTCTAAGGTTTATAATTTATCCAAAGGTTTATGGTTTGATTAATTTAAGGGTTTAGTGTGAGTGAATGTTTCAAAAACAACAGCAAAGGTTATGTGAATGTTGGTTAGACATTTATTCATAACTAAAGGCCTGACTAGTTCAAAAGTAGCAGTTGCAGCTGTGGGAGTTTACGGATGAGGGTAGTTGCGGTTTCTTATGGTTTTAAGAGATTTGTATGATTGGTAATGTGATTACAAATTGGTGCGTTTGCGAGATATTTATGAATGGTTAACTATTAAATGCAGTAGCAGTTAAAATATAAATTAAAAATATTTACATTTTGTATAATTATAAAAAATACCAAAATCATAATATTACAATAAATATATAAATTATACTTATAAAGTTATAGTTTTAAAATTTTAAAATTATTGAAATATTGTTAATTTGTTTTAATAATACTAATAAGAGTATAATATATATTTTAGTGTTTACAATTCCAATTTAAAAAAATTATTAAATATTTTTATTTTTGTATTTATATTGTTTTTTTGTTTAAAGAAAAATAATCACCATCTCGTAACCGCTTGTAATCGCAAACGCTAGTTGCAATCATCTTTTGAATTTAAAAGATTTAGAACGGTTTGAAGCGGTTTAAAATGGTGTGAATGATTGTTGCAAAACGCCAACAATCGATATCAACCGCAAAAGTTGCATTTGTGGGTAATAGCAAGGAAACTAGTTAAGCCCTAATTTTGAGAGATCCATTTGACTACTTTGGACATTAATAATTTATTAATTTTACATATAGATACCTACCTGTTACCAAGACAAAAATAAGTATTGATTAAGGGGGTGTTATTCAATTAGTGATTTAAAATCAATTCTAAATATTTTACAACTAGGTGTTTTGCCCGCACTTGCGGGCATAATTCTGTTATGAATATTTATTAGTTGATGTTTTATTAATTTAAAAATCAACATAATAAGTTATTTTATGCTTTCAAAAAGTACAAATCAAACATTATATAATTATCAATGACAAAACTCAAACATCAGAAATATTTAAAAGAATATATTTCTATAATTATTTTGCTTGATTTATTTTAATTATAATATTTGTACAATATTTTTACTTAATTTATATTTAATTATAGTTTTTATATTTTAATTTTAATTTATAATAGAAAAACACATTTTCAATATAACAATATAATGTATAAGTTATTTATTTTCTAAAAATCTAATATGATAATTTTTTAATTATATAATATTAGAATAATTATGACATATAATCAAAATTACCTAAAATCATGGATAACTTAATGAATTAGCAAAGTCACTTGAGTGATGATTTATATTTAACTAATAATAGATAACTTTTCTATTTTAATTTATATAATATAAATATATGTTTTCAAGATAACAATATAATACATAAAAATTACCTTATTGTATAAAATTATAATATTATTAGTCTGAATTAATTTTAATTATAGAATAACTACAACATTTTATATCTTAATTTTAAATTTCTAATAGAAAATATATTTTCAAAACATCAACTTAATACGTAAGAAGTATCTTATTTGATAAGAATCTCATACTATTAATATAATTTTTTTTAATATTTAATAAATTATATAAAAATTATATAATTTATGATAAATTATCAAGATTATCTAAAATCATGGAAAATATGACAAATAATCAAACATCAATTTCGCTTTTTAAGTAATGATATAGATTTTTTTACATGTTAATTTTAAATTTTGTAATAGAAAAATATATTTTCAAGAAAAAAACATAATACATAAGAATTAACTTATTTTCTAAAATATCATATTATTAATATATATTAGTTTTAGTTATATAAACAATAATAAAAAATTAAAGAAATTCTTATAAATGATTAAAATTACCTAGGATCATAGAGACAAATCAACAAAATAACTTTTCAAATAATTATTTTGATGATTTTTAATAATTAATAATATAATTTTTATATCTTAATTTTAATTTTTATAATAGGAAAATATATTTTCAAAATAACAACATACTATTATCTTATTTTAGAAAAAATATAAAATTATTAATAGAAATTCGTTTTAGTTATATAATAAATAAATAATTTTTATATCTTAATTTAAACTTTAAGTTTTATATATAAAAATATATTTGAAGATAACAACATAATTCACAAGAATTATCTTATTTTCTAAAAATATGATATATTCATATAAATTCATTTTATTTATAAATAAACTATATATAAATATTAAAAATATGATAAATAAATAAAATTACCTAAATTTATGGAGAACATGACAACTAAGCAAATTTACTTCTTAAATAATAGTATAGATCTATCAAATTTTAAAATTTTAGATGGTGTTATTCAATCATGTATTTTAAAAGAGTTTAAATCTAAACACAATCCATTGTTATTCAATTGATGATTCTAAATTCTATTTTAAAATTCAGTGTTATTCAATCTATGATTGAATTTCAGGTTTTAAAATCTGGTGTTATTCAAGTTTTAAGGATTTTAAAATTCTTTGTAATATAAATGGATTTCAAATCATTGGTGATCTATCAAATNTCATGTATTTTAAAAGAGTTTAAATCTAAACACAATCCATTGTTATTCAATTGATGATTCTAAATTCTATTTTAAAATTCAGTGTTATTCAATCTATGATTGAATTTCAGGTTTTAAAATCTGGTGTTATTCAAGTTTTAAGGATTTTAAAATTCTTTGTAATATAAATGGATTTCAAATCATTGGTGATCTATCAAATTTATGGAGAACATGACAACTAAGCAAATTTACTTCTTAAATAATAGTATAGATCTATCAAATTTTAAAATTTTAGATGGTGTTATTTAATCATGTATTTTAAAAGAGTTTAAATCTAAACACAATCCATTGTTATTCAATTGATAATTCTAAATTCTATTTTAAAATTCAGTGTTATTCAATCTATGATTGAATTTCAGGTTTTAAAATCTGGTGTTATTCAAGTTTTAAGGATTTTAAAATTCTTTGTAATATAAATGGATTTCAAATCATTGGTGATAGATTCTAATGAATAAATGATTAAACTCAAAATCCAAGGGGTATTGCAGAGATTTTAGAATCCATCAACTTTAACAATCTTAAAATTTTAAAATTTGATAGATTGTAAAATATTTAGAATTGATTTTAAATCACTAATTGAATAACACAGATTGTTAAAGTTGATGGATTCTAAAATCTCTGCAATACCCCTTGGATTTTGAATTTAATCATTTATTCATTAGAATCCATCACCAATGATTTGAAATCCATTTATATTACAAAGAATTTTAAAATCCTTAAAATTTGAATAACACCAGATTTTAAAACCTGAAATTCAATCATAGATTGAATAACATTGAATTTTAAAATAAAATTTAGAATCATCAATTAAATAACAATGGATTGTGTTTGGATTTAAACTCTTTTAAAATATATGCTTGAATAACACCATGTAACATTGATGTTTCGTACCTTTATATTTCGAAGAACGTTGATGAAAGTCATTGTGTATGATCGATTAAAAAAATGTAGGATCGATTAGGGATTTTGATTGCAGGTCTAAGTATTTCTTTGACCGACCAAATAAAATATATTGTAAAATTATCATTTTGGACTATTCTTTTTGCACTTCGATAATATATTATTTTTGGTCTTACCGTGTGAAACTTGCATCTGCTTTTTACGTTGATTTTTTCTTCTTCCTTTTCAAAAGTCTAGGCATACACAGTTCTATAATACGATTTTTAACTTAACTTTCTATGATATTCCAATGTTTACATTATATTGAATTGTTAAAGAAAAACCATCGGGTAATTGTTGCAGCATTGATATAGAAGTAGCGTAGCTGTCTATTATTATATCGTCCCCGGTATGATAGAATTCCACGAAGTATTACTTTTAAATGTTGATTAATTAGAAGTTAAGGTGATCATATAATCAATGACATGGAAAATAAAGCAGGTGAAGAAATGAGCCTAGCAGTGACGTGACGATGTCTACGAGTTTGTATGGAATATCATATTATGATCTCTTTGTGTCTCCATGGTAAGACTAACATACATTAACATGAAACTGTATTTATATAACACATACAGAGATTTAACTGATGTTAAAACAAAAGTCAGATCTTCTATCTTTTTTTTTCAGTTCCCTTCTAGTAAAAAAAAAGAGATCGGTCTCCAACAATTAAAAAGTTATGAGAATTGGATGTCTTCCAAATCTGAGAAACATATATCTCTGGAGGAGGAAGAGCAAGAAAGTTGAAAAAGTTGCTGCGAAAGCCAATGAATTTTCGAAGCCAGTTCCAGTAAAAGATGAAGATGAATTGAAAGAGAGTGAAGAATTCTGGTTAAGAGAGGATGTGGACAGCAAGTCACAGATACACGATTCAAGTACTTCCATCAAGAATGAGAGCTTGCATGAGAAAGAAGTTGTAACCCATTCGAAACCTGGAGATGAAGTTATGTACGAGCTGAATTTACATGATTCAAGCACTGCGAACAAGAACGGTACACAGGCCAAACAAGAGTCAATCCAAGATCAGGCGATACAAGAATATGAAGGAGGTAATCATATTTCACATAACATTTTAACCATAATTGATATAGAGCCTTTGTTAATTAGCCCGCACACCATTAACTGGTATATATATATATATATATATATATATATATATATATATATATATTTTATCACGTATATATAAGATATTTCGATCGATTCTTATCCTTAGGACATAGGCTTGTATATATTTCCATTCGCAAAAGAAAGTAGAAAAAGGTAAACATCGTCTCCATTTAATTTATATGATATTTTGTTCAAGGCGCATACATAACTAATATATGATAATTGATCATAATTCAGGAAAAAAAACTGTATGGATAACTAAATTTGGGAAATGATTTAAATTCTTAGTTTCTTACACAGGAATTAACACAGATAAGTGGGAATTATGGACAGAATTATGGACAGGATACACGTACTACGTACTTCACATGCAAACTACAAATCTTTATTTTTGAATATTAGAGATAGTACAAAGTATTTAGAAAAAATAATGAAATCAAAAAAATATATTTATATACATAAGATGACAGTATGTGAGATTCAAATAAAACGAATGTCTTTTTTTGTGTGCACAAACGAATGTCCTTCTAGCTATTAAACTTATTTTTTGTGGTTAAAAGCTACAAATATACAGTTTGACTCAAGAAAAAAGGGGAGTTGTACTAAAATATTGGATTTGTATTCAGTTCCGCAATTACAAACATTCAGCTTCGACGGTCTGAATGCAGAAAGACGTGGGACAGTGAGCGATGGATTCAATAAGGTGAAGACGTTTGACTTGAGAGGAGTTCAAAGTAGCAGCAGCGCTGCATCAAGGGAAGAAAACAATTGATTGGCCCTCAACTAATTATCTAAACCTTCCTCTTTGGTTATATGTACCGATGTACGTATCAGTATATCAGACTCAGATCGTCTCCGTCATTCTCATTTTATCTGTGGTTTTTCTTTCTTTTCTTGCGTATGGTAAGTTCTTTAATTTCGATCTCCTGATACATTTTCCATAAATAAAAACGGTTTCTTATAGTTAACTGATTGCGCAAGTAACCCAATTTTCTCAAAAAGAAAAGTTCAGAGTAAATCTATGTATTTACTTAGATTTTGATAATGTATATATATATATCATATTTTTTTAACTATATTTAATAGAAATTGATTTAGGATCAAGAACAAAGCTACTATGGTCCAAATAAATGTATGTCCTTAAATTTAACATGGTGGATACATTATAAAGTTGTCGTCTGTAGTTTATGCATCATTTTGTACATATGAACAGACCTTATGTTACAACAAGCATAATGAAACACTATGCACTCCCAAGTGACTTTCAAGTAATGTCTTAATCCAATATATATGCGAACATGATTGTAATCTGATCACTGAGAGACTGACATTCCGCTGATCATCTTAGGCCACAACCGGGTACGATGCACATGTCGCAATACCTGCAATTCAAGAACGATTCAATAACATATAGAGCGAGAGACCAAATATCTGAAATTCTGATTTAATGACTCTTTTTATCTGCCTGCCTACATCATCTGATAATAGTATTACGGTTTAATGAAAGTTAAAGAACTTACCACACATGTTCTTTCCCATCTCCATCTTGAAGTAACCTTTGTCACCCCAATCTGCTCCCCATGAGTTCTTTATAATCCAATATGGAACACCGTCTTCAATTCCATAACCAACCGCCAAAACCGCGTGGTTCACGTCCTAATGCAACATTTAAATATAAGCTCAAATGATTCTACTTGGAGAAGAGTGTTAAGTTTCATTTAGCAGTTTGAAGAAGAAAGTCTCACCATTGGAGTCTTTCCACAGTGACTATCACTGTAAACTCCGCTCTTGTAAAGCCGGAACGAGTGTATAACCTCGAATGCTATGCTTACTGGTCGTATTAATCCAACAGCATGCTTCAGTTCATCTTCCGCACCCTGTTGTTGTTGTTTGAATCCTCATTACACATTAAATATACTTGTAAGGCAGGCGAAACTCAAGAATCCGTAAGAGATGCTTACCAGAGTAATGTTGACTGAGTCAAGGACTTGTACACCGACGTTCTCAGCTGAATACTTGCAGGTTCCATCTTCACCGGTGTAAGGATAAGCTTCCTCTGTGTCGAGACCACCGTTGGATTTGATGTATTCAAAGGCTTGGGAAGGAAGGCCACCGTTGCAGCCATAGTTGTTGAAAGCTCCAGCACAATCCACAAGCTGTTGCTCAGAGAGTGATATTGCTTTTCCAAATGCTTGATGATAAGCTGCCTCAAGCGCTCCAGTCGTGCTGTAGTACGAAGATAGATCATTATGAAATATCAAGTTTTGTATCAAGAGATCCCCACAAAATTTCAGAATATACCTGAATGTCCAGCAAGAACCACAACCTCCCTGGTCTTTAACCGGGCTAACAATACCATCTTCTCTCCAGTCTTTCTGCAGTTACACAATTTCAAAACTCAGAAACAAAATAATGAAAATTCCTGCAGCTAAAATGCGTTTTCATAAAAGAATTAAGTAATTGGACTTACGGTTACAGGAAGAGGTGCTTCTGTGAGTTTGTGGGTTCCCTTTAAAGTAGCAGAGCAGTTCTGAGCAGCACCAAGCTTGGTCCTTTGAAACTCTTGCCACGTCATATCAGCAAACTCTGTATGGATTCAAGAGACAGTTTAGCAAACCACCAGTAATGTGTGCCACATAGGACAAACAATCATCTTAAGTCTTAACCCTTACGTCAAGACTTTAATCAAAACAACTAAAAACTATATAGAAGCAAAACTATAAATAAGATGCTAAATATTCACGCAAACTAGTAATAACTCCCTGCGCTGCAAACTCCAAACCAATAACAATCTTGAGGCACGTGAAAGCAAATCATAAATAAAAACCAAACCTTAAAAAAAAAAAAAACAAAACAAAACATAGAAGAAGATCCCAAGACGGAAAGGTTATTTATTTAGACAACATCCATGTGTCAGTTTTTCGTATGACCTGTTTCCACTCAAGAGACTACTTTCAAAACATGTAGAAAAGTAGAGAGACAATAATAAAAAAGTAAACTTACGATTAACACCGAGTTTGTAAGACAATCCTTTCTTATTAGTGGATCTAATCAAATCCAGATTCTCCTTGAACACCGAGAATCTAAACTTCATCTCCTCCACGTTCTCATACCTCTTCCCATACCTATGAGTGAAGCGAGCGAATGATAAAGCGTGGCGGGACTGTCCTAAGATCTGGACAACTGATTCCTCTACTTCCCGGAGACGGTCGGAGACCATACGGATCGGGTTTGACTCATCGAATCCGATACTCTCTGCTGCCGATGCGGCGATGAGGATCAGTAGAGCCAACGATGGTAAGATTGTTCTCACAGACATTCTTGTCTCTCTTTTTTTCTCAACTAACGCTTCTGCTTTGTTTGCTTCAGTGGTTTTAGCTTTAGAGTATACTAGTAGAAGACGGAAGAGGGAGAGACGGAAACGTTATCGGGACACGTGGGGGTTTGTGAGTGGAGAGTTCTTGTCCTATATACTTGGACTGTTGACGTGTACGGTGATGTCATTTGTATATATACCAACAACAAAAAAATCAATCAATCATTGGCTTCATGATTTTTATTAAATACGGGAATATTGTAAAATAGTCCATGAAATGTGGATCAGTTTGGTTAAGAACCCTTTTTATTTATTTTATACAATCGCATCCTTTGACAAAAGATAACCGTACAGTACAGATATTCTGATCTAAAACCGACTTTCTTGTCAGATATGCAAGCAAGATGAGAAAAAAGTATTTATACAACGTTTGTGTACGATGATTGACTTTGTTATAAGAGATTCTTCAGACTATTTTGTTTTCTTTTGAGTGAACTGCATGTAATTGTCTTTGGTCTCATTCTTGCTGCTGTTTCTTTGAAATTGCTCTCAAATCAAATGTCGTCACTTTGTTGAATTCATCAGCCATAATTGCGCGATATACGTTCTCTCCATATATAGGCTTTATACAATGACCTGCAATAGTAGCTTGAATACAGATTTTATCCGAGTCGGATAAATTCCTCAGGAAAGCGCCACCAAAACAATCCTTTCGTTATTTACCTTTTACTAGTATCTTGGGAGATCTCAGCGAGCTTAGGACATAACCATGGATCAAGTTAATATCAACAAGAAGATTTATGATATCTTTAGAAATATTAGGTTTTGCATTTTCCATATACTATTTCATATAGAAAAGAGTACTGTTTTGACGTTTTCAAACAGCTGTTTTCTCAAATGCTTGTGTCTAATCTGCCGGCAATCGAACCACAAAAAAAAAACTATATAAGGCCAGTTAAGAGTCACTTCCTATATATAGGCATAAACCAACCTCTTAAAAGATGATACAGGAGAATGGAACATGTGTCAATTGGCGTATTTCAGCTAGCTAGTTGAAATCCCAACTCATTATGAGATTATATATAGGGATATAGGAAAAATGAGTAAACTTTAAAGTGCTTAGTCAATTTTGGGAATGAATGGATTGACCCGATTGATATCCAATTGGATAAGCCATCTGGTTTAAATTGTGATTATATAACTATTTCTAATTTTGTAGTCATTTAGTCTATTTTCTACTTTAAATAAATATTTATTAAAATGAGAAAGAGACAAGAGCATTTGAGATTTTTTTGGCTTGTGGAGTATACAAGACTTTGATCCGTTATGGACCTTTTGATTCAATGAATTATGACTGATAAACAAAGTTTCTCAAAATCTGCCAATTTCTATGACAAAGAACCCCATTCTTATCTTTGGCGATATATTTGCACCTCCGATAAATTTTTGAACTAACCATTATACAAAACAATCGATGCTTTAATTTTGGTCTGAATTGCTTACTATAAACTGGGTATTTTATTTCCTAGCTTCGAAGAACTGGTTAGGGTCTTTCTTATATCATTTACAAAAGTGGTTAATAGGTATGTCACACGGTATTAGTTGAAGCCACTAAAGTAAGAGACGCAGCTATATTCTACGCATATATTTATATAGAAAGACTGAAATTGTTATTATTCAACCTATCTATTATATAGAAAGATTCAACTTGTTTTTAGTTTATCTGTCTATTATATCATAAGACCCAAAATGTTTTTGAGTGTAACCATCAATCATATAAAAGAATATAATAAGATTTAAATGGTCTTCATCCGTCTAGATTTTAATCGTCCACAGTTTACTATTTCATGTTGTAGCTCCGGTGGCTGGACTAATCGTTATTATATTCACTAATCAGTATAAGAAATGGTATAAATAAACTGCCAAGCAAACCTTTAGTGACCAAGCTGCAAGGTTGCAATCATATGCCTCCTTTGTTATCTCTCTTCACTCTATAATAATTTCTTTTTTTAGAAAATGAAGAATTGTTTCCCTTGTTTTTCCTGTTTCAAAAAAAAGAAGGTTTGTTTTTTTCAAATCCCAAAATTTTTTAAGAAATTTACATTTCAACGGCTTTAAATTTTATATATATATATTATGTGATAAGGGTTATGTGCTTATACTATATATGAACTGATTATTTCAATTGCAGAAGATAGTTATACCGGATAGGGTAAAGGAGCCAGAAGTCAAGATCCAGCAGAAAGATGTTCGCAGACGACCTATTAACATACAAAATGCGAGTAATACGCTCAATCAGGATGCCAGTAGCTCAAACGAGACAGTATCGCAAAATAATAGATTTTTGGAGCAGGCACAAGGTGTCGGTGCGGGTGCTGTTAATGCTGCTGTGCAGGTCAAAGATATTAGTGTTGCTGCTGCTGGGCAGGTGAAAGTTATAAGTGCCGGAGCGGTTGAGCAGGCAAGAGTTATCAGTAAGGGTGCGTTTAACCTTCTTCCTAACAGTATACAAGGGTATTTTGGAAAGAAGAACGGTATGAAAGACCATAATAGGGTAGTAGTGGGACTGCACCACTGGAAGAAAAACGAGATGGAACAAAATAAGATCAGGCAGGAGAAGGAGGAAGAGAATAGGAGGCAACAATATTTAGCGGAAGAAAAGCAAAGACAAAATGAGATCAGGCAGGAGAAGGAGGAAGAGAATAGGAGGAGACAAGCTTCAGAAAGTAACTCAGGTGCTTGCATCATCTTGTTAAAACACACATCTTACTTTCCTCTAGTTTTTTTTTTTTTGATGTGGTGATCGGTTTGAGCTCCTTGGACTAGAATTTCATCTCATCTTCTAAAATAAAAGATTGTATTTTCTTAGTGGTACAGTTTTTGTTGATTAACAATAAGATATGTGTTAACCAATATCTGATGCGCAGGAGGAACCTCAAAGGTGGCAGAAATCACAGGAAATTTCTTGACCGCCATGTCCTCGACACTTGCATATGCATCCTCGAAAGCACTAGGAACTGAACAACCAAGTACATCAGCGCAAACACAACGACCAAGTACAACGCAAAAACCATTTCCAACACAAAAGGAAACACGACCAGTTGAAAAGAAAGGGAAGAAACGGCGGTAATTTCTTTACTCTTTAAGTGCAAAGAAGCTTGAACGGGTGTATTCAAGTTTTCATGATAATGTTTCGAGTCCATGGACTAGAAAATATCATATCTTATCTTCTACAATATTAAAGTTTGTTTCCTTATGTGTTATACCGTATTTTATCAAATGTTGTATTTCTATTGTTTTTTGTTTGCCTAAAGACTTGATCATCCAAGTTGTGGTTGTCGAATGTGATTCGTCAAATTTTGTATCAAGTGTGTTGGAAGAATGTAGTTAGTAAGTGTAAAAGTGTCATAGGGTGTAAACCATTGATAAAGAAAGTGAAGTGTAATAAATAACTCAAAAAATGTATTCATAAATGGGGACAATTTGTGAATAAACAAGACAAAAATGAAAATTAGTTTTTTAGAAAGAAGTTAAAGAGAGAGATTGAAATAAGAAAGAGGAGAGAGGGTGGGATTTTGACTACTTTGCAAATTTTGATTTTTAAGCTATTGGGTGTACTTTTTGTAAATGTAAAGGACAATTTGTGAAATAAACCAACAAAAAAATATCAAAATTAATTTAATTTAATTGTATTATTTGAATTTGTGAGTTGGATCATCTTTACATCAAGATATTATTTGATGCTATATCCTTTTAGGACCCGAAATTAGGCGATTGCCCATGACGTAACTGAATCAAAATTAATGACCAAAATGATCTTCCTCATTTCTCGGTCCTACTCCCTAGCCCTACGCCTGCGCTTGTAGCAGACAACTTTCACTTTAACCACAAACCGTATTTATGTTACAACCGTCCACTTTAGAATTTTAAATTAAATTCGAATTTTTTTTTTGGTCAAGCACTTTTAGTTCCAACACGAAACTGATTTTTCAGTTCCCCTTTTCAATTATACAAAAGAAACTGTAAATCTCATTCTTCATCAACCGTTAATTCCTTTGTTTTTCTCCGAGTGTGCAATGGAAGATCTGATACTCCCTCTCCGTATATTCTCCTACGGTGAAGAACCAATCGGTGAACGAGTCAACTCGTATCACATGACTCGGAGAACATAGTCGCTTATTGAGTCACTAGACGAGGAAGAGATGGAGTTCTTGAAGAATTCTCAGTTTTCCAAAATTCTAGCTTTAGACGAAAATCCTTCTTTTTCTGGTGCTTTTGATCATTTCATTTTGGTGAGGATGTTGAAGACGAAGAAAAAGTACGAGATATGGTTGATTTTTGTCGGAAGACCAATCAGAATTTCTCTTAGGGAGTTCGCCATTGTTACTGGTCTTAATTGCAACCGGATTCCTACCCAGACACGGAAAAGAAGAAAGAACCCTCTCAAAGAGAAACTATATTGGAACGAATTGTTTGGCTCTCTTAAAGCATGTTCTGTGGATACTGTTATCGAGATGCTCAAGACCCATATGGTGAAGGATAGGAACACGAGGATCAAATTTGCATGTCTAGCCATTACGGCTTCAATCTTACTTCCATCTTCTCACTCTCCGAAAATAATCCCTGAGCATGTCGAGTTAATTAGGGATATAGATGAATTTATTTCTTACCCATGGTGACAGATTTCTTTTGAACTTGTAACATTAACCTTACTTAAGAAGGATGCAGTTTCCCTCGCTCAAGACTCTTTCGCATTAAGAGGTTATGTTGAAGCTATTCAACTTGTGATGATCGCTGCTGTCCCTGCTTTGAAAGAAAAAGTCATCACCAATGCCCATGTTGTTGTTGTTGAGTCTGATAGTGAAAGTGAGATCCCGGCGGAGGAGGAGCAAGTTGTTGGAGATGCTTCTGGCAGTTTGGAGAAGGCTAACTCCACCCCTAGATGGATTGTTAATCCGAAAATCGCCAGGGACCTCAACGCGGAATGCCAGGTCTGTCATCCTCCTTTGTCATATTTACATATACAATCATCTTAACCGTCACCGGCATTGTTAGATACTAACCAAATAGTTAACATCTAATAGACTAAGTATATGTGTCCCACTCTACCTATCAATCGGCTTTACATAGTAAAACTCTTTTTAACCGAATCTATCAGTATTATCTCTACTTTATAGTGAATTGATAGATGACATGCGTATCGATTCTGTTTAGCATTTTCGTTTAAGAAGAAGATTAACGTTTAATACTAAATTTAACAGCCAACATTTGTGTTAACGCGTATTTTCAGGTTCCAGTTCGATCCATTCTTGATGATCCAGAGGATGATTGGTTTTCTCAGCATGACTTTTCTTGGCTGATGAATCCGATAACCCTGCCGTTGGCACGCTTGTTAAGCTCATTAACGATGGTTTCCTCTTCAACAATGATATGTTCCGTGGTGATAATTCCTCTTCAACAATGATATGTTCCGTGGTGATATTTCCTCCGGTGACCTTTCAAGACCAAAGCTTGACAAGCAAAGGGAAAAGGAGGTCAAGGATAGACATGACAAAGCAACCTTGGGGGAGGGGGGACATCTGAGTCATCTGGTATTGGTCCAGGAATGATTGAACCTCTAGCTACTCTAATTTCTGAGAAATTGCGACATGGTTGGTATGGAGTATAAAATAGCAGACGCTGTTGAGAAGAAGGTTGCCGCTAGTCTTGTGGGAGTTAAGGGTAGACTTAGCAGTGATGTTATCAATTACATGCAATCTTTGGACAACGGAGTCATCAGGGCCATCATTGAGTTTTTGGGGAAGTCTACCTCATCAATTCCAACTGAACACGACATCCCCCCAAAGGATTTACAAACCGCACCGTGGATAAGGACAAGGACAATGTGGAAGCATCTCATGGAGGAGATGATCATGTAAACCTCTTCCAAAGGTTTGAAGCCTAAGGTGGACGACCTAGTGATGCGGGTCGTAGATGAGATTCAGGCATCCTCAAACATTGAGGAGGTAAGCTCACTAAGATTACTTTTCAACTACTCATAATTCCATTCATTAATTACAGTAACAATTCATCTACTTTTACTTTTAATTAGTCCAATGAACAAGCACAAGGCGTTATACAGAACTCAGCAGCACAACTCCCTATAGAGAATGAGAGGACAGAGATACTATCTCACGAGGTTACTAATTAAATTTTAACTGTTAACTACTAACAAATGTTTTAACAGATAAGAATTATCTTATCAGTTAAATTTATTATGAATACTTATAATTTATAAAACCTGTTATATATCAGGAAGACGACAATGTCTCACCTCTGAAAACCTCAAGCGGCAAAAACTTGGCGGAACCGACATGTTCCCTAACACTTTTAGCCTCATGTTAAGAGACAAATCATTGAACTCTATTATCTCTCTAACAATGTGTTTATCTACTGTTACCTCCCATTCGTACAGTCTGGGATAGAAGCACATTCTTTCTCGATAGGCCTAACCCAAGAAGAACCAGCTCGTCCGATTCTTGATCCAAAACCTTTGGGATATGTTCTCCCCTCCGATCTTGAAAACAACGACAACCCTGACACTCGTAGAAGCAAGTGTTCAAGGGTAGCACCCACAACTTACCAGGACTTCCTGTTAGACCCTAAAGTAAATGTGGGTTTCCGCATCCTACCCAACATCGCCAAATTGTTTGATGACCTACATAAGAATGTACTGAGACTCAGGTATATATTCAATTATTTACAGTTACAATTGAAGTTTACCGTTATATACACAGTTGGCTATTATTATATAACTTACTCTTCAATTTTGCCATAATAGATTTGTCCATATAGATGGCCCTACGGTCCTAAGCGCGAAAGAGTTTCTTGATATAGCCTGGCGGTCTACTCACATGTCGCCCAAGGTAATTATATTTACTTGTACTTTCCGAACACTATATTTTGTTGGATATTCTAACGGTCTTTCTACTTCATATCAGACAATGGATGCGTTGATGCGGTACTTGTCTGACGAGCACGAGACTCCTTCAAACTCACTCAAGGTCTATGACACTAGCCTTCCCGCTTCCTTGATGCGTCATTACGCAAGGTTTGTCAAAACGGCTGTCAAAGATAGGATTAAAATCAAGTTTAATGATGCTTTTCTGGTGAAACTACGTGAGAACCCAGTTGACCGACTGTACTTCCCGTTCAACATTGATCAGAAACACTGGGTAGCTGTTGTTTTTGACATTAAGGCTCGCGTTGTTCAAGTCCTCGATTGCCACATTGCTATGAAGACCGATGGTGTGCTAAAAAAAGAGCTCAACCTGATTGCTAATATGATGCCATATATGATCAGAGGTTGGAATCCCGAAGCTAGTAATGAGAGCACCAATGCCTTCACTATCACGAGGCCCAGAGGCATCCCTCAATCAGAAGCAGCAACCGACACTGCTGCTATAACGTGTCTTCTTATTGATGCTCATTGCCAGGTTGGTTTGGAAGGGTACAAAGCTATTACCCCGCGTGTGCTACCGGATGCTGCCAAACAGCTGGCTTTTAAGTTTATTCGGTTCTTATCCAGGCCTCCTAAAAATCCCTCCCAGACTTAAGTTATATTTTATGTTAACTGTTAATATTATGTTTTCATCTTTTTATTTTTAAACTCCACCGCGTATCCCATATCACATTTGTTTACTACAACTTTTTAATCACTTTGTTTCACTTAAACGTTAACTGTTTCCGTATATGTTAAACGAGATAACTAGTTCTAATAATTGTTATGCCATCTAGCTATTATATTTACCTCGAAAACTATTATTTCGTAACAATATATCACTAGTAATTTTACATAACCCCTAGCATTTTCAAACACATATTTGAGATCTAAATATGTTACTCCAATATTTTAAATGTAAACATATATTGTTACCGGTTAACTAACTTCATTGACGTCAAAGAGTTTAGTTTCCGGACATTACAATGGAGGGCAATACACTCTCCTCACTGATCGTACATTACATATTTTGTCAATCATGAAGAGCTTTGGGGAACAGTAGTATCATATTACATATCCAAAAGCAAAAGGTCGCCCTAGATCAGACCTTCAAAAACAAACACTCCTTCCATTGCACCTCCGCCGAATAACTAGCCGCTCCTTCTAGATAGGTGTTTTACAGGTGGCGCGGTTGTGATCCGCACCCCCGCATCTGGTACAAGTCCTCCTCCGTTTAAACGCACCAGTTTGCTATCAAGATAGTCCTTAACGGTTAACTACAACAATACATGAAACTATTTTTTGTTAAGCTTATTAAGTAATGTTTGAAATATTACCCTGATCTCTCCGCCTGATTGAATCCTGCTCTTCCTAGGCCTTCCAGCTGGCCTACGTGTGGTCGGTGGGTACATGTTGATACTTGGTGACTCAGTTGCGGTGACCATGTTGATGTTCACCGGGTTTATGCTTCCTGCGTATGCTTTAACCTAGTATTGGTTGGTGTATTCCTCAGCTAATAAAGTCTCGATTTTATGGGCTCTATTGATAGCAGCGGCGACAGCGTGGACATGCGGAATACGGAGCTTATCAAATTCTTTGCAAGAGCAAGTCTTCCTTTCAAGATCAACCCTATTGTACACTCACAAGTTATCGCGTATTTCGTACTCCTCGTTGATGATATGCCGGACATTGGCACCTGATGCAAAACTAAAGTTATGAGACAACATAGCAGTTACCTTCGGAGTTATCTCGCTAACATTGGCGTTAGCGGCCGCACGTCTGGTGGAAAACCAAGCATTGTACTAATGTACTCCAAAAGAGCTACTATAGGATACCCTCTTGCTTCTGCCAATGCAGCGTTAAGTGACTCAGCTAGGTTGCTAGTCATTACGTTGTACCTTTCACCCTCGAAATGCGCCCTACTCCAGTGCTCTAATCCAACCCGAATAAGGTAGTCTGCGCAAGCAATGTCTACTGATTTTATTTCATTGAAGTGGACATAGAAGTCCTCCAACTTATATGCTCTAGCTGCTCGTTCAATCAGATAGAGTAAGTGTTTTTTCTTGAAAATAGTCTAGACATTCCTCTGGAGATGAAGAATACAAGCGCAATGCTGTGCCATTGGATAGACCCGCAGGTACGTCATACATTAATATCAGCATTGATCGTTAAACCTTATTTCATTACTTTCGTTAATATACTTATTAACGATCACTACAATTATTAACCGTTACGTTAGCACATATGCCGATAATAATTAGAATATCCAATAATGTATTTTAATAATACTCACCCTTTTTATTCCTGAGTAGATTGCACTCTGCCGATCAGACACAAACACTAGCGCCTCTGAATCAGGTACAACTTGAGAAAGTTGTCAGAAGAACCAAGTCCAAGCTTCATCATTCTCACTATCTACTATCACAAAACCTATTGGAAAAATCTGGTAGTTTCCGTCCCGAGCACTTGCAGTTAGAAGACACCCTGAATACTTGCCCTTAAGGTGTGTGCCATCAATGATGACAACATTTCTCATATAACTGTACCCTTGGATGTTTGCCACGTAGGACAAGAAGACATATTTGAATCGCTGAGCACCTTCTGCCATGGGTGTGGTTTCCAGTGTCTCAACTAATCCCGGGTTAGTTGTCAACACCATCTGCAGGTATGAAGGCAGGGTCTGGAATGATCCCGCATCATTCCCCGCACCTTCGCTAACAGTTATCTCTCTCGATCTCCACGCTTTCCAGTACGAAATAGGGACATCGTGGTCGTGTCGTATTATGTCCCTAATTGCTCTGGTCTTGGCCCCCCTTTTGCAGCCGGTCCATACCTTTGTTTTATCATTTCTCCAACAAACTTAGCATTTGCATGGTGGCGGAATTCCCATCTACCCCCCAATGAGCATGTATGTACCAGATTCAATGTCCTTATCTGAAAGCTCTCCGGCCCGGCCATTTTCGCGGCATATACTCTCCATGCACACGTTGCTCCTCTGCACTGGAGTAACATTCTGTGCGGTTCTGATTTTTTTTCGTCAGGAAGCGGAACTTGTTTGTGATTGCATAGAGTGTCATGTGTATCTTGAAGGTTTCTCTGCTCTCAAATACTTTGCCAATATGTAGATGTCCCAGTGACTCCATCTCCTCTCCTTATATAGTCAAAAATATCCCATATTAGTTAACTCTATTATAATTCTTAAGACCAGCTACATTTTCAAACCATAAAATCTGATTGTTTTCAAAATACCTTCAGCGCTACCCTCTCCTGTTGCTCGGTTCACACCGTCTTCCTTTACCGAGCATTTCTCTGTATTGTCAGACTCATCGGCAAAATCAGCTAAAAGATTTTGGATCAAACTCATACCATCGCCGGCTTTGCTACTCATTTCATTAACACCTAAGTTCAACGATAACTGTGTCGCCGACCCTGTACCTACATAGATTTTATTAACGCCTAAAATTAAATGTACAATTATATGTTTAAGCGCGCACATAATCAGAACCAACTCTGCCTAACTTGCATTTACTTACCCATACCCTCTATCATCATTGTTGCCTCCGCAGCATAGTCCCTCCCCATTGAGTTACCAGCAATTCCTACCAATTTGCTACGCTCTGCAGCAGTATCATCCTCAAACATTATACCCTTCCCCTTTTCAAGCATTATACCCTTCCCCTTATCAAGCATTACCTCCCCTTGATCAGTTATCTCCATTGCTGAAACGGCCATTGACGAGATTGTTTTCAAAAAATTATCTTCTAACAATAAAGCTATATCACAATCTTGCTCAACTTACCTAACCCAACAGCTAGTTCTGTCTCTTGGCCTCCTAAGTTATGACCTTCTGCCACTGATGTACCCCCTCCAGATAATACTTCACAAGTCTGGGTTTGTGGTAGATCAGAGGAGTCCTCAGATGAGTCGATGTTGATAGGCATTGTTTCGGTGAGAGGTTCTTGGTACCCTTCAAACCCCAACGAAGTTTGCTCAAGTATGGCAACCTCACTGGGAGTGCATATTCCTCTTAGTATTTCCTCGTACACCACCATGTAATCCCTAGCTCTTAGATTTATGTTCATTTTAACATTGTTGATTAACCGTTACTATCAGCCTTACCAACTAAAAATAATTTTAACCGTTATTAAAATAATTATACCTTCAAGCCTAACGAGTCCCCCTCCCATCAGTGGATGTTGCGCCGCATTTACCACCATCTTCCTCCACCCTCTGTATCATGTACCGGTCCACACCTTCATCCCTGAATGTGACATACATCTCAAGCCACACATGGTCCACTCTTACGGTCATGAACAACTCGACATCCCCATCCTCTTTTATTTCGACAGGTGGAGGTGAGTATTCATCTGCCTCTCTGGATATGTCAGGAAAATCATACGTAAGTAGCACCGGCTCAGTTGGTCGCAAAAGTTGTTGTAGCTTGTATTTCTCTCTCACCATCCCCACAAGATCAACGTAGCTTTCGTTTTCTTTCAGCAACACATCATGTTTCACCACAGTATTGTCGACGTTAAAGTTCCATGCATTTTGAGCGCCTCTTTCCCAGTCTCCCACAACAAGTCGAACCAGATAACTCATCTCCAAATCAGTACCTGTTAACGACAACTTCAACCATTAATAAACATCTTTACATTTACGATTAGAAGGATACAATGCTATCAACGATCTTGGTTTTTACCATCTGCCCTGAGTGACAACGATTTCTGTGTATCAAGTCTTTGCTCTTCTAACCCTGAATCACAGCTTTCGTTCTCTCCCTTTAACTCCTACAAACTTCTCTCTTCTTGTTAACAAAGGATTTTACACTCTATAAGGACTTTTATCTTCAAATTATGTTGGTATTTCATACAATCATCATTCTCGATGTCCTTTAGTTTGTAGAGTCTAAACTAATAGCACGAGAAACAGAGACAACGAGTGGAGGAGAAGCCTCGTAGCTGTCAAGGTAGGTTTAAGAATAGTAACCTAGTACTCGGCGTGTAGAAAGTTGTGTCGGAAGTCAACTCACGAAAGAAAGAGCTTTCTCGGCATTTCATACTCAAATTGTATGCATTGGACCGAAAACGTCAACTCATGTGTATTCGCCTAATATGGGTTTCGTTTTTGGGTATTCCGCTAAATCTCTCTTACATCAATCAATCAGTTAATTTGTGAATGTAGTTAGTTAATTTCTGTAAATGAAAACCACTTTTCTTTAATTGTATTATATTAATTTCATTTCTCAAAAACTTTTAACACCGATAGATCATCTTTACATCAATCAGTTCGACGGCCGTCAAGGATTCACTCACTCACCCTTTTGAGGCTTTAGACCATGTGCAACCGTGTATTTACTTTGGCTCGATTTCCAATTCTTTTTTTTATTATTTTATTAATTTTTTTTTTCATTATTAAAAAAAAAAAGTTATTAATGGTGGGCCGCCACGTGTCGCGTGGCCCACAGCACAGTAACGTTACCCAGCAAAATCAGTCCTTATATAAGGATTTTTCATTCTGATTTTGGCACAAAAACCAAACCCAACCAATATTTTAATATTTTGCTTTTGGAAAGTTGTGCTAAGGATTAATATGTTTTTACCATTGCACATGCTCTTAGGTTTGTAAAAAAGCCCTAAACTCTCCTCTTCCCCCACTTACGCCGGTCGCGAAGCTAAAAACTGTTTTTCCTTAACAGAGGAATCGTGCGCCATGGCGGGAGGTAACAACGGTACGAGACGACTAAGGCCGAACCTACTGATAACGGGGACTCCTGGTACCGGTAAATCGACGACGGCTTCTTCTCTTGCGGAGGCCACGAACTTCCGTTACATCTGCGTCGGAGATCTTGTCAAAGAGAAGAGCTTGCACGATGGTTGGGACGATCAGTTCGAGTGCCACGTCATCAACGAAGACCTGGTGAGTTTTTTTTCAGCTACTTCTGGTGGATTTAGTTTAACTTAAAGCTTAATTCTTTAATCAGACAAATTGGGAAATTCATTTCGAATTCATTACCAGACCAGACCAGACCAGTAGTTTGTTTACTTATTAGCTATTGTAGTTGAAAGTTTGCTTCTTTTTTTTTTCTTTCTCGTTATGATTTAATATCTAAAATTGATGGTTGAAGTTGCAATGGTTTTGGTTATTTTCATTGGATATTATATCTTTTTGATAAACTTGTTATTGATTATTTGAATGATTAGCGGAAAAGAGTTTTTTCTTAGCTGTTTAAGTGAATTTGTAACTTTTTGATTCAGGTGTGTGATGAGCTTGAAGATATAATGGAAGGAGGAGGTGTCATTGTAGATTACCATGGCTGTGACTTCTTTCCCGAGCGTTGGTTTGATCGTGTTGTCGTTCTTCAAACTGAGAACTCTGTCTTGTATGACCGTTTAACCAAGAGGTCTGTATCTAAATCCCTCTTTAGTTTTAGTTGTTTCGCTTTTTTAAACAGGTTTTGATTTTGTTCTCAAAACCAAACCCAGGGGTTATTCGGGAACCAAGCTTAGTAACAACATTGAATGTGAGATCTTCCAAGTCCTGCTAGAAGAAGCAAGAGATAGTTACAAAGAGGAGATTGTCATCCCGCTACAAAGTAACACAATCGAAGATATCTCTAACAATGTCGCAAGTTTGACGGAATGGATCACCACATGGCAGGGCGCTGGCACTGGCAGCCCTGATGAATGAGGATCATCATCATACTGTAATGTTGATGACAATGCATCTAAGCTTCAGTGTTTAGTAGTTTCTGTTGATGTGGTTCTGTGTTGGTCTTGTGTATACTGATATTATTGAAAGACAATGCAGATGTTTCTATCAGCTTATGAATGTTCTCTTTTGATACTAAGTTAAAGAAAAATTGTTTTTCATCTTTTTTATTGTATGTTAAGATAAAAAGTTACAAATGTGCTATGATTGAGAAATTTATAATGTTGATCAATACTCGGCCTTTATGTGGTCATGAGTGAGTAACTCTCAATTTAATCATATTCTGAGCTCATAAGTTGAACAGACAAGGTCCGGTTAAACTTGAAGAAGACAAAGTCTGGGTCTTTCTCTTATCCGACGAGGTTAATCTCTTCTTCTCGTCCTTATTTCTGAGATACTTGATTATAAGATTAGTATATGATCCTATGATGTTAGTAATTGGGAAAGTTTGTATCTTTTGACTTTTAACGACATGCCTATAAGCTGTTCGACAAAATGACTCTAGGAGAACAAGTTGCCACTGAAAAAGAGCATGTGATAAATACGTGAACTTATTTTTTGTTTGGTTGTTCAGGTGAAGCAATGCTGGCGAAGACATTTCTTCTGAGAAATGGCCTTGTTTCGAGGTGTTTCTCATCAGTTACTTTAAAGACACTCAAAGTTGGAGATGTTTTAAGAGAAGCAAGAGTGTTCTCAAGTGATGATGTTAAGAGCTATGCTGAGGTGAGCCATGATTGGAACCCACTTCATTTCGACCAAGAACTTGCCCGAAAATCCGGATTCGAGGACCGCCTTGTCCATGGAATGCTTGTCTCTTCCATGTTTCCTCGTATTATCTCTTCCCATTTCGTAAGCTCTCTACTTTAGTTTTGCATTTACTAAGGTTCCACATGTCCTAACTGTGCTTGACTGTACTGATTTACAGAAACATGACTTAATGTTTGTTGGTATTGATTGCAGCCTGGAGCAGTATATGTATCTCAAACTCTGCATTTTAGATCACCAGTTTACATAGGTGATGAAATTCTAAGTTTGGTACAAGCCACAGCTTTAAGAGAAACCAAGAACAAGTACATGTAAGCTTAACTTACTCAACCCAATTTAAATACAATAAAAGTTTAGTATTTTGTTATTCTCTATCATATAACTAGATCCTCATTTCACTTTGTCAGTGTCAAATTCTCAACAAAATGTATCAAGAATCACAATGAACTTGTTGCTCTTGATGGTGAAGCTACTGCGATTTTACCAAGTCTGGAGATGCTACACCCAAGTCCTTCAGAATGATAGATAAACATAATCCTAGATAAGTTTTTTCTTCTATCATTTCCTGATTTCCAATAATACTTTTGATCATTTTCGTAATTGTTATGTCACTTCCCTTTCTATAGGCTTCTTTGCCGTAACATTTAACATTTTCCAATATTTAAATTTAAATTTAAAACTTATACCCGAATAAAACAAATTTTACGTTTGAGATAAAATCTAAACAAATACCACAAATTTCTCTAACAACATTAGTCTTTAGCTACAAAAGATTTACGACTCTTTCTCAATGAGAGAAGAAAGAATAACGAGAGCAAAAATGGAAAACAGAGGACTCCCTCTAAGATCAATCATCTCACATTCTCTCTGGATAACACTAGTTGGAATCCTTCTCTTCAGTCTCTCCACCACGAAGAAACACAACTTTGGTTACACGAAATTCTTTTCAATATGCGGAACGTTACTCATGACTTTGCCTTGGATGATCCAACTTCTTGTCACTTCTGCTGTCATATTACTGCATAAGAGTGGAGGTTACAACCTCATGTGGATTGTTCGGCCAACACAATCATCCAAGGAGAATCATCCCACTAATGTCGTCACTATCTCTTCTTCTCCAGCATCTCCTCTTCCGAATGGCCAGGCTTTGAAGAAAGGTGATACAGGTGAGATCGAGATTAGGATTGTGATTCCAAGAAGTCCACAGTCCACTCATTTGGAGATTGAAGGAAGAAACAACTCCAAACTTATTGCAAATGGATCACCTGTTTCTTAAATGTGACTACTCTGTTCGTGTTCTGTTATTTGGATCTTTCATTTCTGTTTTCTTTAAAGACTATGTTCTGAAACTTGTAGTGCTTACAAGTTTTGTAAGATTTTCGTTGTAAGTTTCATTAGTAATGAATTTGATTGCTATTTTATAACCTTCTTTGTTGTCTCAACCACATATTCACATGTAAATCTGTATTAACAAGTTATTGAGTATGTAGCTAAACGAATACAGACACTTGATTACACAGATTCACATTCAAATTCTTTTTTACTTAGTTTTTCTTATGTGATTGTGTATTCTGATGGAGTAGAGGCTGATGGTGCTAAAGAGCTTCTTGAAGTGACGAGTATAAGATAAAATGGATGGTGGTTGAACGCTTATATTCATTTCAAAGGAAAACAAGAAGATACAAAATATGAATGGTTAAACCAACAGGGATAAGACTACAAACTATCATTGATCTGAGACAAAGTGAGAGAGAGATACAACAACCTTGAAAACTAGAAGATGTGCCTTCTGCTATGTACATTTGGTGTTTAACTATAATACTACCGAGGCTGTTGAAGCCGCAACTAAAAAGGAGAGTTCTTATATCCCAATATGTGTCATTCTTTTGAAGGGGATCCAATGGCCAAGGAAGAAGAGTTCGAGGAAGCTGACCAGCTGCTTGAAGCTACAAGAGAGGCTGCATCAATCAGAACCGAAGAATGACTACTTAACCCCACAGTATATGGTGAAACATCTGGCAAAGGCAAGCTGTTGTTTAAGTATAAGACCACTTGTTCCATCGTAGGCCTAGATTCTGGTACAGTACTTGAACATAGCAAACCAAGTTTCATAACCATCTCTACTTCCTCTTGCAAGAACTCATCTCCCAATCTCGGGTCAATAGCATCAAGCAAAGCATCCCTTTTCCAGCACTCACAAACCCATTTGATCAGAATCCGTTTCTCACATTGTAAATGTGGCTCCACAGGTCTCCTCCCACATGTTACTTCAAGCATGAAAACACCAAAGGCATACACATCAGTACCAGTGGAAGCTACCATATCAATCACTTCAGGCGCCATGTAACCTATAGTTCCAACGGCTCCTGTTGGGTATGCATCCCCTCCATGGTCATGAAACCTTGCCATACCAAAATCCCCTAGCCTTCCGTTGAACTCACCGTCCAACATAATGTTTGAAGCTTTGATATCTCTGTGCAGAACAACTTGGTCAGCACCTGTGTGCAGGTAACAAAGAGCAGAAGCTATCCCTTTAACGATCACAAGTCTCTGCTGCCAAGAGAGTACTGGTTTTGTCTCATCAAACAAATGCTCGTCAAGGCTACCGTTAGGCATGTACTCAGAGACCAAAAGAAGCTCATGCTTTCTCCTGCAGTAACCAAGAAGTGGAACAAGATTCCTGTGTTTCAAACATCTCATGGTCACCACTTCAGACACAAACTGCTTCACACCTTCATCACCGTTATAAGACATTCTCTTCACAGCTATCTCTCTGCTTAGCATGAGAGTTCCTCTGTATACTTCTCCAAAACCTCCTTTTCCAAGAAACCCATCTTTGTTGAACCCATTTGTTGCTTTGTATAAGGACTTGTAAGAGAATCTGTGTGCACCAAACTCCTTCTCCCATGGTTCAGTTACTTCTGCGTACTTGCACTTCCTGAAAAGATACACTCCTATGAGAACACCTAACCCCATGGTAGCCACAAAACCAAGCAAGACAGTGACTATTTGATACATATTTTTATGTTCAGCTCTTGGACGAGGAACATCAGGGAGTCTTGACAAGTCAAGTCGCTGTAAAGATCCTCTGTTTGTGCAAAAACTCCAAGAAAGAACATACTGATAACTAGTAGCTGTCCCTGTAGCTGCAGAGAATCCAACAAAAAGACTTGATCTATTAGGAAAAACTTCTGTAAGATTGATGTGTTGTGACAACAAAGGCCGGCTTGGCTTCTTGACTTCAAGAGGACCTATTGAGACATTGAGCAAAGTGCCTTCATAATCCACCCACACCTGTAATGGCTTTCCACTCAGGAGATTAATGCTTTCATTCTTCCTCGTTATATCTGAATAGTAAGAAGCTGAAGCTATTGCTACCGAGAGAGGACTGTGCACATCAATCCCCACATGATTCTTGTCAATATCTTCAAAATCTGGATTCCAAATAGTGTCAAGCTCAACAGCAAGCACATCAGAAGAAGGGTAACCATTTTTGGACACGTTGAAGATCCCCAAGTACCTAGTTGATTCTGCATGAGAGAAATCCATAGAGGGAGATACTACAAAGGCCATGCCATGGCCACCTTCATGCCCTGTGTTTGAGGTGAAAATGGTTTGAAACAATATAAAGAGAGAGATGAGGGCGAACAAAGACGTTTTATTAGATCTGAACGAGGAGTTACAAAGAAGAGAGTAATCGACGGACTAGCCGGAAGTACAAGATGGTGAGTAAACGGGAAGGCGACTAAACAGGGAGGTGACTAAACGAGAGGGTGAGTAAACCCTAGATCTAAC